GCCCTATACACCTTAGCATACTCTCCTTTTGATGACTCGAAGAAATGGACTTTGAGGAAATGGTAGTCGTAGATGAAACTGTACTTCTGTTGTGAGAAGGCTAATCTATACGACGTAACAAATGTTTGTGATGATAAATCGAATTGATTCAAAATATTGTTACGTATCTGCTCGTTTGATAATTTCTGGTATAAATTATCTCCGAGGAACTTAAGTCATTTCTTAATTAAAATTAGTTTATTCTTTTTCGATACAACTTTGTAATACACAGAATTTCCACAGTCACTTTAAACTTAAGCTTTACAATACACGCTATAAATCACAGTGATTCACACACTTTACTTACGGTGCCTACTTTTCGCTTGACTCAATTATCTATCTCTTCAATCTGTCTGCATATCTCTTCCTCGCTGGCTTTATTTGCCGGTCTTATATACTAAAAAAGAGGGCGCCTGGCAAACTCTCGGACATTCGCGGGGTATCTCGATAAGTCATGATCCTTCTAGAAACTCCAGCGCGCATACTCCCTGCGTCGCGTGACTTCCGCTGTCGTAACACTGCCCCTTCCTCAGTACTGTTCGTCCCGAACAATAGCCACTTACATTAAACCAATAGATAATTAACAATAACTTAATTAAATGTACAGAATTTACAAACACAAAATTAAGATACAACAAAGTCTCTTAATTTTACAGGACGTATCTTCTTCCGTACTGGTCTCCGTCTCATTGACTTCTGCTTCACGTGTGGTTCATCTGCTCCATCAGGAAATGTCCCATTATCGGTAACAGTAGTAACTTCATTAACGGCTTCATTGTTTTCCTTCTCAAAACCGGGTAGAGTTTCTTCTTCGACAGTGGCTTTTTCAGGTGACACATCTTCAGCAGCGTCATTTGTTCGTTGTTCACTTCGTTCCAACTGAAATGTCCTGGACTGTCATAACGCCAAAGCCTGTTGGCATGCGCCACATTTGGCTTATCTCGCCGACCACATTTTATTCGAAAAGTCACGTCTGAGAGACGATCCACTATGTCATATGGGCCTTCCCATGGAGAAAACAACTTAGGAGACTTCCCTTTGGTCTTTCTGGAATTATACAACCACGCCTTGTCTCCTGGTACAAAGCTGACTTCAGTAGATCTCTTATCATAACATAGCTTCATGGAATCAGCAGACGTTTTCAAGTTTGAACGCACTTGATGGTGAATATCATCCATCCTTTCAGATAACACTTTCACGAACTCTGACACATTTTCAGGCAACTCTTCATAAGGTGGGCGTCCTGTTATCAGATCCACTAGCAACAGAAGTTCCCGACCAAACATAAGTGGTTTCATGCTCTGCTGTTCTATAGGCCATCAACAGTGGAGGGAGTAAGACATCCCAGTCATCTTGGCGGCTATTACAAAACTTTGCCAATTCCGGTCCCGGTGTCCAATTGTACTTTTCTTCCATCCCATCAGACTGTGAGTGAAGTGGCGTTGTCCTGGTCTTTCGTACGCCATACTTGCAGCATTCTTGGAACACAGCTGATTCGAAGTTACGGCCTTGATCTGAATGTAGTTTGTATGACATACCAAATCTGAAGACGAAATAACTAACAGATGAAGCTACAGTTCAAATTGGAGCATGATGGTGGGTAAAACAAAATACGTGGCCTGGCAAACTAATGAATGAACATTTGTTGTAAAATTATTATCAATGATATACGTGAAGCTACCAGTTTGGCCGCCAATTTTGATTTCATTCCTTTAAGTTGCACGCTCAAACCTTTTTTGGCCGCACCTTGTTTTCACACCTACAGTATTTTTGATTAGATATCATGACTTTTTTTCAATACCCACCAACAAACCACAGCAAGATAGTGACACTTGATAGTAACCAACATTAGCTTAAGGATCGCAACCTTATTATTCGGAACAGACCTACACTTTACAGAACCAACCAGATTCTTCATAAGATATCTGGTAGTAGTTTTCCTCTCTAAAAAAGTGTTAATAACTTCCTTTATAGTAACACCATGGAAACTAGATTAACAGTTTCTTTTCATCACCTGCATGTAACTCGGTACAGCCGGTATCAAGCATCGATATTTACGCTAATATCACGTGACCGTAAAAGCTCTTTACTTAGGATAATTTCATAAAATTTAGTAAACTTGTGCTGAAAGTTGGTAATAATAACCGTCCATCCGTATGATTCTTTAGAAAACTTGAGCTAGAAACTGATAATCTAGTTTGCTTGGTCTAACCAATACCTATATATCTGCACGTGCTTTCACCCTATATTTTGGTCAAAATTGTGAGGTTTTTGTTGAATAACTTTGAACATGTGGCTTATAGTTAGACCAAGTTTGACACTTAATTGTAGGTTGTAAATATCTATCAGTTTGCCAAATTTGAAAAAAATCCATAAAAGTTAAGTCTGTTTTTATATCAAATAAAGTTTCCGTACTGTCGGAAAATTTTCAATCAAAATTGGAGATATTATGTATCGTGTATTTCCGAATGGATGGCCGTGAAATTTGATATGTGAAGTAAGAGTCCAGTAGATCACATTTACTGAAAATATGCGATAGTTTGGATCACCACAGTCTGACCTACAGAAAGTGGAATATCGCTAAAGTTATTAACATACAGTGTGTCCTGCAGGTTGTTTTGGCCGCACGACACATTACCTTGATTCTTCTGTATCTAAGGGATATTTTGACACATGCTAAAATTGGTAATATTTTATATGAAGAGTAAATGTAATTACTTTCCTGGCAAATACATGGTAATCTTACTTTATAACATCACAACTGTTCAGCTATTTAGATACTGAGAGTTGTTTTTCAATTTCTACTTACAGATTTTCAATGATTTTTTCATAATGTTAAACCTCGGATTCGGACATGATTCTGCAATTATTAGAGCTTCCCTTAATGTATTATACGATTAGCATTAAACATAGAAATAAAGAAAACTTTGTATTATGCTAAGTGACATATAACCTGAAAACATCACTTGAGAATTTAATGTAGGCACATTTCGTAATCTATAACACACCCACACAAATATATATACACAGCGTGGTCACAAGTAAATAGACACCTAATTTTGCGTCATTTAACTGATTTATGCTAACTAATTTGTGTTCACAGAGCACTATATAAATGAAAATGGTCCGCACACTAATTATCTTGTGAATTTACCACTTTATTCCTCGGGTTTCGTGGACAAGAACACAACGTTGTTCCAG